GGCATTGTGATCGATTCTGAACCATGTCACACAGAGTTATCAACTATTGGTTACGGTAGTCATATGGACCGCATTCAAGTAGTCTACATCTACTAACATGGCTCAGATGAGAAGTTAGTGACTTTATGGATTGATGCCACGTTTTGTTTCGGCCGTCTCCAACACTATTCAACATTGCCATGCACTTATTTTTAAATCATTGGTGACATTCGTGTACATTTATATCCACCATCTGTTAATTATATATTCTTAAATATTGGAAAACAATAAAATCAAGAATTCATATTTTATTCTACTTTAAACTGATCATCTAAATTTATTGATGTACTTATATGATTCACCTGAATACTTAGTGTTTTAAACGCTATTCCATTATCTATTAAACTATTGGATCTAAATCCTCTCATTATTTTTAATGAAATAAGTATACAATTCATGAGATGTGTATTAGTTTCTATGAAAATAAATTCAGACAATATATTCATTAAAAGAAGGTCTATATATATATGAATATTAATATAAATGAATTGTTTAAAATGATTTCAGTTGATCATTGAATTGAATTGAATCATCAATTCATTTATATGAATAGTCAATTGTTTAATTATAATAGTATAATTATGGAATACTTGTTACCATTTAAATGAATGTTTTAATTAAATTAAAATTGTCCTATACAATATTTAAGTGACTAGACATAATCTAAACAACAACAACAACAACAACAACAACAAAAAGGTTTCATAGTCTAGTTTTTATTTATTTTGTTTAGTAAGTTTAATTATTATTATTTATTTATTTATTTTTTTAAATGTAGTTTAAATAACTTTGATAAACATTTCAAATGTATAGGCAAAGATGGATAGTGGTTAGCAGTGGAATCCAGGACACATATTTTGTCCTATTTAAGACTTATCATCTGGATTAGGGTATCGGTATCCTAGAGTTAATGTTCATTGCTGGATTCTAACTCAGTACTAATCGTTTTAAAGATTGAATGAAATGCGTGTCATAGATTCCACTGCTAACCACTATTCTCATTAACAAATTTTTTTAAATTCTAGATGTTATACCGTATTAGCATAACTTTAAGTAATTCAATCCTATAGGGATAGAGATTTCTTGAACCAATAATTAATATACAGCAGTATAGAGTTTTTTTTTCGATCTTTTAAACATTTTCAACTTGTCCAGTTGGTTAATGTTTAAACTTATTCGATTATATAAGAAGGGTTTTTGTGAATATTATAGCAATTTTAATGATTGAGATCATGAGTCGATTGAAGCTAGATCACTGTGGAAAACCTAAAAGCACTAAACAGCCGTTTCGTTGTACTGCGAGACTCCTCAGCAGTGCGCATCCACGATCCCGCCTCACGAAATTCGAACCCAGGACCTATCGGTCTCGAACGCGAGCGCTTATCTATTAGACCACTGAGCCGGCTGGCATCGAGTGGTGTTAATGTCTAACTTCAACTAATTCGATTGTGATAGCAATCAGTATACTATGTTTACTTTCACACTTATTTCTTGCCTCAAATATTGCAAACAAATAAATGGCATTAAAAGCTAAAAAATGGGAATAATATGAACAATTTAAATCTCCACAAAACGCCTTCTGATAATAATCTTCTCAGTAGTAAATGACTTCAAGAAGCATTTCCTGGATTTCTAGCGAGAAGCAGTGACCAGTGGAGTTCAACCAGGTCTGTTGTGAGATATCAGCTCGCTGAAGACAATGGTGCACGGTTGCGCAGTTTCGTGGATTGGTTGAAGTTAGATATTAACACCGTTGGATGGCGGCCGGTCCAGTGGCCTAGTGGTTAAGCGCTTGCGCGCGAGACCAATAGGTCTTGGGTTTGAATCCCACGGGGGAACGGGATCATGGATGTGCACTGCTGAGGAGCCCCACAATAGGACGAAACGGTCGTCCAGTGCTTCCAGATTTTCTGTTCTGGTCTAGCTTGAATTGACTCATGATTTCAAACATTGAACTTTGTAAAATCTCCACAAAACCCCTTCTAATAATTTAATATTTACCTTTACTATCAATCATTTGGTTAAGATCCATGTGATAATCCTAATCTTTGATTGTATAGTACTTATTCTTACTTATGTAAATTGTAATAAATTAATATGATACATATTTGTTATACATTATTTATAACTGATTATCAATGATCACATACATAATCATCTATATCATCCAATATTAAGTTGATTTTAATTCATTTTCTCTATAAAGAATAATTGAATAGATGAATTTTAGAGAGAGAGAGCGAGAGAGAGAGAGAGTGCGAGAGAGGAAAGAATGTCATCTAACGTATTTGTTTATTTGTTTATTTATTTATTGCTGTATTCATACAAATAGTTATGGTTGTTTATTATAAACTATAAGTAAATAAAATCTAAGAAAAATTTTTTTTGATAAATACTAGTTTATTTAAAAAAAGGGTTCTTTAGTTGCTAAGGCGTTTTATGTCTGTTTGTTTGTTTGTTTGTTGTTGTTGTTTTGTTTTCTATCACGGTTAAATTCAATCTGTCTGAACTTGATAATAATAAATCGAAATATTTTTATTTTACAATTGATTCATCGAATAGTTATGTCATACTATCCATTATCAATGTTACTCATGATACACATACATGATGTATATGTATGTATATGTGTATGTATATGTGTATGTATGTGTGTGTGTATGTATGTGATATATGTATATTCATTTCAATGATCAACATTTACATTATACAAACCTTATTTTTTAAAGTTCCTTTTGTTTTTTTTTCTCTCCCTCTCTCTTTCTCTCGATAATTTTAAGAAAAAAAAAAGATAAATATGAATTGGTTAGTAGATATAATTCAACTTTATATTAAAGTATTATTATAATATCAGAAAAGGTTTTTTTTTTATATTTTCTAGTGGATATTATAGTAATTTCAATAGTTGAAATAGATATACTTGAATACTACTATAACTACTACGAGTTCAGTTTACTCGGTAAACGGAATGAAATTCAAAGATTCACTGACATGATAGGCTATTCTAATCCATTGTCTTCTACTAACTAGATTAAGAAGTCTTGATGAGAGGTAGAGAATGTATTCTACAAGCACCCAGAAAATACAAGGTCACTAAGTACACAAATCAAATTTATTGATACAAAGATAGAAATACCCTTAGGAGAGCCACAAAATAACGTACTAAAAAAAATTCCGTCAACCAATGTTAGTCAAGGATTTTTGAATGGGAATTGTAAGCTGTAGGTCAACTAAGCGTTGTTGAAATTTTCAGAATAAAATTACAAAATTTCAACCTTTGCCAAATGAGTTGTGAGGATCTAACATCCTCAACAGAGATTATGAGTCAATTGAAGCTAGATCATCATGGAAAACTTGGAACCGGTGGACGGTCATTTCGTCCTATTGTCAGATTTCTCAACAGTCCTCATCCACAACCTCACCTCGTGAGATTATAATAATAATAATAAATTTTTAAGAAAATCTCTGTGTACTCTGTACTTAATAATAGTACATTATAAAGGTATAGAATTCAAACATTAGAAATAATGATCTGTAAAATGTTTATTTTTAGATCCTGCATATTGATATTTTTTTGCAACTTCAAGCATGATATGTTCCATATAAGATGAACTTATTGTATCTCTAAACATAAAACTTTAAAACTAATGAATATTCTCTGAATCGGTTTTGTGGAGATTGTAGTAATTTCAACAGTTTAGACCATGAGACTGATAAATGCTGGGTTCGAATCTCTCGGGGGGAGGGCAGAATCGTGGATACGCACTGCTGAAGAGTCCCACAATAGTACGAAACGGTCGTCCAGTGCTTTCAGGTTTACCATGGTTCTCTAGCTTCCATTGACTTATAATTTCAACTGTTGAAATTAATGAATATTCGGTATGAAAACTGTAACTAGTTTGTTATTTAAGATTCACAATCACATGTATTTTTCTAATTTATATCATGAATTCATTGTACTTGCTCTCATAATTGAAATCACTTTCCAATAATTAACATTTATAATTCTAATCACTTTATGATATTATGCAATTTTCATCGATTATCGTCAATAATGTATGTTTTATGTATTTTTAATATGAAATAGTGTTGATGCAGTTTGGATTGTTATGGGTTACTGGTAAACGTTAGTGATAGCTATTCTGCATCACTACGGTAAATGTATTATGTTCAACACAATTAGCGATATAGTACAGTTGTTCTATGTAGTGAGTGTCGAATATGTCAAAGTTTATCATTTAGAAGACTTATGTAACTGAATTTTAGTACTTGAAAACCTTCATTCTGTTGTTCATCTGTTTATCCAATATATACAGGAAAGGGCTTGTCTCGATCTAGGGTAAGATCTTGACACGATAAGCCTACTGGTTTAAACTTGAGGCTACAATACGTGAGTTCGAATTTAAACTAACGGTCTTGGGTAGAGAGATGAAAACTATGATATCACCTGATGGCTTGACAATTAAATGGAGAGAGAAGACGTGTCAACTGGAGCACTACTCGATTTGTTCTCGATTTAGATTAGTGTAAAAAGTTACATGAGTAACCAGATGACGAACACGACCACAACGAATAAAGAATCAGAAAAATACAATTATGTTCAAACTGGGCGTTGTTTAAATTCGAATATCTTTGGAATGGAAAAGAGTATGTCAGTGAATCATAAATGAAATGAAAGCTTATAGTTTATAGAATGAACTGTGGACAAAGCTAAATGTTAGTGTTTTACAAACTTTGAATCAAGTGAAATAACGTCCCTGTATATAGCTTCTGTTGTTTGTCATGACTTTTTGTTTCTTTGTTGACATCACATTCGTATGGTGAATTTGTAAAGTTTGGGAAAATGTTTGAGTGAGACGGTGACGTCTTTCTATTTACCAGTAAATGTGGCGGTTCTTAATCACAGATATGTCGTTATTGTTTCATAAAATGTTTTCACTACTTTTGTTCCCGTAATATAGGCAAAGTCGATGGACTTGTTGGCGCATTTGATAATTCTGACTGGAGTCCAGGTGCAATAACTAAAGCATTTTATGTTGGATTATTTGCATATTCTGGTTGGAATTATTTAAATTGTATGATTGAAGAAATGAATAATCCCCGCCGTGATTTACCATTGGCTATAATTATTTCTTGTCTTCTCGTAACATTCATATACACCATGGCTAATGTAGCCTATGTGACAGTAGTCTCACCTTATGAAATACTTACTACACCAGCTGTAGCCATTGTAAGTTGTAATCAGGAATGTATTAGATTGTTAATCTATTCTGCTTATTTGTTTTTGTAATATTTTCTTAACTTTTTACTAACATAAAATGTATTGAATTCACTTGGTATTGTTTGCTTGAATCTTCCCATTGTTGTTAAACACTGAAATTGATCAATCTCTTTTTGTCATATATGTGCATCCTGTGAGAATTGCCTCGATATTACCTTAAGTCATATGCATTCTAAGCAAAGATGGATAGTGGCTAGCAGTGGAATCCAAGACAAATATTTCGTCCTATCTGGGACTCGTCAGCTGGATGTACTTGTATCCCAAAGTTCACTTTCACTCTGGGAATCGAACCAAGAACTGTTAGCTTTAAAGATAGGACGAAACGCGTGTTAAATAGTCTATTGTACAAGGTAATTATTCGTTGTTAATCTTCAACCTCTATTAATTTGATAAGCAATAGGACTGTGTTTTCTTATTGTTACTATCAAGGTCTGTTGGGGACGTTAGATCCCCAGAACTCACTTGGAAAAGGACTTAAGTTTGTAATTTTATTTAGAAAATTTGAATTTCTTTATTTTCGCACCAAAAGCGCTCTTGTCATCTTCATGTCGTATTTCTCACTTGGGAAATATCTTAAATGCTATTGGTTCATTGTGTCTTTTAGTATGTTATTTCGTGTAACTCTCCTCTAGGATGGTTTTGTGCTGTATATATACGTTTTGATTTGTGTTTGTTGTTATCGCTCGTGCTTCTGGCTGTTTGTAGAATATACTTCTCCATTCCAAGCATAGACTTCTTCCTCTAGTTAGCTGGGCTGGGTCGTATCAGAATATCTAGCTTGTTGGTCTTTGGTCATCGAGTCTTTGTTCCCGTTCGCAGTCTAAGTGAACTCGTAACCGCTTTAAGGTCATATACATCTGAACTAAAATAAATGAGATTCAAATGTCTCAATGTTTTCTTTCATTTTTTTTCAAAGAATTATTTCATAAAGTATAAATAAGTATTGAAACCAAAATAAAAAGTACTTGCTGTTGAAGTCGAATATATTTTGTTTGATCATATATTTATTTGTTTCCGTGTCAACTAATCGTTTGTCTTTTACAGCTAGTTAATTACATTCACCCACACACACACACATTAAGTGGGTTTTCGAAATACACTTCCTTCACAGTACTATCATTCTTATAGAACTTGAAAGAATTACAAAATGATAACAAGACAATATAAAGAATGAAATCACTGTGGAGTTTCATTAAATCTTCTATGATCATTAACTTGATAATTTGTTTTCATTTTTTTTTGTTTGTTTTTGTTTTAATATTTATACAAGTTATCTGCTACTTAGATACCATTATTGATCTAATTTAAAGAAAAAACAGTTGATTGAATCCTATACTTTAATACATTTTTTTCTTTTGTTTTTTTAAAATTGTCAATAGACATTTTCTTTAAGAATTTATGGTGTAATGTGGTGGATTATGCCTATATTTGTAGCATTATCTACATTTGGTGGTGTTAATGGTACAGTAATGACAACATCACGTATGTTTTTTGTAGCAAGTCAAGTAAATCAAATGCCTAAATTATTATGCTTTTTACATATGGATAGAATGACACCAATTTCAGCTGTTGTATTTACAGTAAGTTTATAATTATTTAAATGTTTATATGATATTTTACAAGCGTTTAACAGAAAATTCATTTGTATGTTATTGTTTTATAAGTTACATATTAGTTGTTGGATAGGATTTGATGAACCATAATGATAATGATTAATGTTTATTGTTTATGGTCAATTAAATAATTAAATAATTAATCAATTGGATCATGAAGACGTCAGCATGTGAAGGGAAGCACGGGATACAGTGGACAGCTAGGATGCAATTGGATGATCTAGACTTCGCAGATGATCTGGCTCTTCTATCGCATACGCAACAACAAATGCAGGAAAAGACAACCAGTGTAGTTGCAGCCTCAGCAGTACCAGTAGGTCTCAATATACACAAAGGGAAAAGCAAGATTCTCCGATACAAAACAGCATGTACCAATCCAATCACAATTAACGGAGAAGATTTGGAAGATGTTAAAACCTTTACATATTTGGACAGCATCATTGATGAACATGGTGGATCTGATGCAGATGTGAATGCGCGGATCGGCAAAGCAAGAGCAGCATATTTATAACTGAAGAACATCTGGAACTCAAAACAACTGTCTGTCAACCAACACCAAAGTCAGAATTTTCAATACAAATGTTAAGACAGTTCTACTGTATGAGGTGGAAAGTTGTAGAACTTTGTAAGCAATCATCCAGAAAATACACGTGTTTATTAACAGTTGTCTGTGCAAAATACTTGGGATACGTTGGCCAGACACTATCAGGAACAACCTACTATATGAGAGAACAAACCAGATTCCAGTGGAGGAAGAAATCAGGAATAAGCGCGGGAAGCACCGAACTGCATCACAAGGCAAGCCGTCTCATGGAATCCTCAAGGTCAAAGGAGGAGAGGAAGAACAAAGAACACATTCCGTCGAGAAATGGAGACAGACATGAAAAGAATGAACAAGAATTAGATAGAATTACAAAGGAAGGTCTAGGACAGAATGGATTGGAGAATACTGATCGGTGGCCTATTCTTCTTTGGGAGTAACAGGCGTGAGTAAGTAAGTAAGTAATTTATGGTCAATTCATTAATGATGGTACTATATTAATGCAAACAATTTACATCAGGGATTAAATGCCATTTTTAATCATTTATCAAAACTAATAACTAACGTTTAACGATAATGCAATCACATGACGAAAGTTATCAGAATTATGTGATATATTTGTGTAATACATTTCGAACAATCTGATTACATTTTTATATGAAAAATAAAAGGTCAACTATACAGATTAAAGGTAAGCCGTAACAATGAAAATCAAAATAAAGTACACAAAAACAAATTGATAACCACTCTGGTTAATAAATCAGTATTACCAGGGTAGGTTAAGGGTAAGCACAAATCTTTCTTGAATACATAAAGGAGGTTTCAGTTTTCGTATAGCCAATGCTACAACAAACCTTGGTATATGTCCTTGAAGGCTTTTGTACAACACTACAAATGCTGATTTGATATCAACCCTTTAACCGGTCTCAATCAAATGTTTCTGAATAGAGAATGATGTCTGTCTATGCTGTGATCTTATTTCACCATTGGAATTCATTTGTTTTTTCAGCCATTTGGGTATGTGTTCTCCCATCCTTTCTTGTAGATTACGATTGCTCCTCCGTATGTACGTGATTCTGCACGTACATGTAAATTGATAGACACAATCGCTTACGTGCTGTTTGAGTTTTTGGTGAAACATAAAACTTGTCTTTTCAATAATGTCAATTTGGGTTGCATAGAATATCCGGTTGATGACTAATTTAAATCTTCGTTTCAATATGAGACTATAGAATAGAGTGGTCTTGAGTGCTGTTAGAGGTATGATGGCGGTTATCAATTCCCGGTTGCCCATACCGTGGAACGGTTCTTCTGGAGGTATGTGAAAAGGAAATAAGTTTAGAGGTGGTCATATTGACCTGAGAGCGTTACCGCAGTGCCCACGCACGACCTTTTTATGAGTAATTCTCGGGTTAGCTCCGTACTTCTTGGGACCTTACCGCCGGAGACGGATATCCGTGGGATAAGGCGAGGTGTGCATTTTTAGAGTCGACCTTTTCTAACTCCACCCTTCCTTGTAGGAAGGCAGCATCTCTGTTATGTTGGTTGTCTGAATGAAACTCCTTACTGCTGTCAAACATCTGTACAGTCAGCAGTACCACTTCGCCTTCGGACCTTGGGTTTGTTGCTTTTAATGTTACCGCTCTTCAACCAACCTGTGTAGGTGACCTTTAAGTTTTCATATAAAACATTCTTAACAAGTATATATGTGATCAAATTGTTCGAAATGTATGACCCCTTATTGTCTATTTTATACTGAATTAAGAATTATTCTCGTTTTATGGTTTTACTATTTTGCTCACAATTAATCATAAATGTAATTTCACTACATATACGACACACAAATCTCATATGATTTGTACGAAGGCTGCAATACTATCCCGGTGCCTAAACCGAAGCAGGTGGTTTGCTTAGGGGGCCATACCCCGAGCCTTCGACCTGAAGATCTGATCCATAAGGCAGTGGAGCATCGTGAAGAGATGCAGTCCCATGGTAGTCGGTGACGGTAGTGAGTAGGACTTCCCTGTCAGAGGCTATATAGGCGTGTCCATGTGAGAGCATTTCGAGAGAGAGGGTGGGCCCACTCCACTCTCGGCCGGACCATTACTCATTAATGTTTCACTCAAGAATTTCGTCTCTAACGTTTTACTCATTTTAATGCACGAAATCCAGCACAGTCGTTCATTGTTTCTCCAAATAACAGATGGACTGACAACTATTATCAACCACTATATAGTAATTCAGTTTTATTTCTCATCAGGCTGTAAGCTGTCAGATTACAACTAGTTGTTCATAATAAATCTAAAACTGCGGAATATATCTTATTCATTATCTCATTAGAAGTGAAATAGTTTAAAGATTAACCAAAATTCTCTAATTTAGATTGTAATATTTTGACTAAATGTAAATATCAACTGATAGATAATACTTCCCTTCAGTTCCTTTGTAAATCAATAGTTACTTCAATGTTAAGTGATGTTTAGTTCCATTTCATTTAACAGTAGTATGATTCAAATAATTTTTCAATTGTTTATTACTACTATTATTAGTAGCTTTATTGAATGTTCTGTTTTTGGTACAATAAAGTATTCTCATCACAAAGTCTTTCAACAAGTTTCTTATTATTATTTCTTGATCGATCCTGACGATAATGTATTGAGTGATCATCAATTAGAAGTTATCAGTTCAGGACTCGACATCTGAATAATCTAAATTCATTTCAATGGGCATATTTCCAGAAACCACAATGCCTCTGATTGTTCTGTTTTGTAACTTGTACAGTAAAAAATCGTGAACTTTTCACTAATGTACCTGAATAGGTTATGCAATTAATTGACATAATGATCTGTTGAAACAAACAAGAAAACAGATAACTTGTTAAAATATCTAGATGGCAGAAACAGATAGCCCAAACGTTCAAGCAGGCCGCCAATATATTGTGATGTCATTCTATGTAACATATAGAATCAGAAAAAAAATTGGGAAAATTTTGATCCTATTACTAAAAATATAACTGACTGAGCAGTTTCCTTTTTGGTATGGTGTAGTATCAGTTACTATGATAAGCCCACATGCCTTATTGTAGCTTTTGGACAGTCCATTCTCTTCATTCTATTTGAGTCACATTCTAACCTTGTTAATTATTCGCCTATCAATATGTTGACTGTTTTTATATGAGCGTGTAGCTGTGTGTACACTTCTTGTCCCATTACTCATTACATGTCTGTAGTGTATTTTTGTGTGATTATAAATATCGATTAACGCTTGGTTAAGTGGGGAGTTGGTTTAACAGCCATCTCCACTGCGCATCATTTTTGCTTCGATTTTTTCTCTTCGCATCGTTTCTCTGTTCGTTTGTTTGATCAACGATGATACAAAATATATATGTTCAAAAGTCCATTCTCGTTATTTGACTTATATAATTCCGTTATTCACTGAACGCGATTTAAGTCAATGATTATATATCAGGATAGGCGACATATATATTTCGACAATGATCATTCATACGATCTACTTGGAGTCAGATCTTGGGCCCCTAAAGTGGAGAGCCCTTCGGCAACATTGTCCAATCTAAAATGGCAACAAACCAAAGGACTCCACAATGGTATCCTCTTCTTAGTGATCATATCAAATATGAACATAAATATAGTTACAATTTGAGCACAAATTCTTTCAATCACTATCATTATCTTTGTCTAGTTGCCGAGTTATTTAACAATTGTAATATCTTTGAATTTATTATAGAATTTTTTATGTTAATACATTTTACTATAATTTGTCAAATTAATTTTTATACACTTTAAATATATCAAAATTGTAGTTTGTAACTAATTCCCATCACTGATAAACTGACAAGACAACTTGTGGTAATCAGTCAGTGTAGGACAACTGTTACACATTGCCTTATGATTCAGCATTACACTTTAAGTACTACAACATTAGGCTTGTAAGTCAGAATGTATAAAAAACAGAAGGAAATAGACCCAGAGTTATAAGTGTGCTTTCGTAGAGTCCGATCAACACTAAAGACTAGATAAATATAAAATTGCTAACCACTCAGTGATCAGTCAGTGTAAATATCTTAGTCCTATGGGTCGATGTTACTGCTCGAATAGTTTAATGGTAACGCCTGAAATTATGAGACTAGATGATGTAGATCCGAATCCTACAAATTGAATCAGTTTTCTCAAGGTTGAGGGCACATCTTGATAGCTTGTAATCAGGTTTGATCCCGAATAAATCCTATTATTATTATTATTATTATTATTATTATTATTATTATTATTATTATTATTACTAATAATAATAATAGAAATAATATGAATACTTAAGCAATTTGGAAGACTTTCCCGGTGTCCCACATTGTACGAGCATTCCATGTACCTAAATAAATGATTGATCTGGTTGTCAGAAGGGGCATCGGCCTCGTAACTCCTGAAGGAACTCGGCTTTCATCATGAGGCGTCATAACTCTTATAAATGAAGACCTTCTGACTTCCAGAGCAGAGTTTAAAAGGTTTGAATTCTTTCTGGTTAGCGTTTTTTTAGCGACTAAGTTTTCTACGGGATAGGGTCTCTAATCCCGTGCCCAATCCTTCTTTATCCGGGCTTTGGACCGGCAGTAGCCCTCGGAGGGACTCCAGGCGGGGTTTACTACTACTACTACTACTACTACTACTACTACTACTACTACTACTACTACTACTACTACTACTACTACTACTACTACTACTACTACTACTACTACTACTACTACTACTACTACTACTACTACTACTACTACTACTACTACTACTACTACTACTACTACTACTACTACTACTACTACTACTACTACTACTACTACTACTACTACTACTACTACTACTACTACTACTACTACTACTACTACTACTACTACTACTACTACTACTACTACTACTACTACTACTACTACTACTACTACTACTACTACTACTACTACTACTACTACTACTACTACTACTACTACTACTACTACTACTACTACTACTACTACTACTACTACTACTACTACTACTACTACTACTACTACTACTACTACTACTACTACTACTACTACTACTACTACTACTACTACTACTACTACTACTACTACTACTACTACTACTACTACTACTACTACTACTACTACTACTACTACTACTACTACTACTACTACTACTACTACTACTACTACTACTACTACTACTACTACTACTACTACTACTACTACTACTACTACTACTACTACTACTACTACTACTACTACTACTACTACTACTACTACTACTACTACTACTACTACTACTACTACTACTACTACTACTACTACTACTACTACTACTACTACTACTACTACTACTACTACTACTACTACTACTACTACTACTACTACTACTACTACTACTACTACTACTACTACTACTACTACTACTACTACTACTACTACTACTACTACTACTACTACTACTACTACTACTACTACTACTACTACTACTACTACTACTACTACTACTACTACTACTACTACTACTACTACTACTACTACTACTACTACTACTACTACTACTACTACTACTACTACTACTACTACTACTACTACTACTACTACTACTACTACTACTACTACTACTACTACTACTACTACTACTACTACTACTACTACTACTACTACTACTACTACTACTACTACTACTACTACTACTACTACTACTACTACTACTACTACTACTACTACTACTACTACTACTACTACTACTACTACTACTACTACTACTACTACTACTACTACTACTACTACTACTACTACTACTACTACTACTACTACTACTACTACTACTACTACTACTACTACTACTACTACTACTACTACTACTACTACTACTACTACTACTACTACTACTACTACTACTACTACTACTACTACTACTACTACTACTACTACTACTACTACTACTACTACTACTACTACTACTACTACTACTACTACTACTACTACTACTACTACTACTACTACTACTACTACTACTACTACTACTACTACTACTACTACTACTACTACTACTACTACTACTACTACTACTACTACTACTACTACTACTACTACTACTACTACTACTACTACTACTACTACTACTACTACTACTACTACTACTACTACTACTACTACTACTACTACTACTACTACTACTACTACTACTACTACTACTACTACTACTACTACTACTACTACTACTACTACTACTACTACTACTACTACTACTACTACTACTACTACTACTACTACTACTACTACTACTACTACTACTACTACTACTACTACTACTACTACTACTACTACTACTACTACTACTACTACTACTACTACTACTACTACTACTACTACTACTACTACTACTACTACTACTACTACTACTACTACTACTACTACTACTACTACTACTACTACTACTACTACTACTACTACTACTACTACTACTACTACTACTACTACTACTACTACTACTACTACTACTACTACTACTACTACTACTACTACTACTACTACTACTACTACTACTACTACTACTACTACTACTACTACTACTACTACTACTACTACTACTACTACTCTCAAACTAGAAAGAAATGATCATTCAGAACTCATTTATTGTCAATACTTCTTTTATTGGTATAAGTTAATAATGTAAATTAACTTTAAACTGAACAATTTTTAGAATAAATCTCTTTATTGTTTATCGAAACTATGTATGTTTATTAAACTTTCTACTTTCTACGTTCTTCCGTCTTACTTCTTTTTTTTTCTTTTTAATCTCCATTATTAATTTAGTGTATAACATCATTATGTTATCTACTTGTTGGTGATATTTATTCATTAATAACCTATCTTGGATTTGTCCAATGGCTTGCAATTGGTTCATGTGTATTCATTGTAATTGTATTTCGAATAACTAGACGACATCATCCACGTCCTGTGAAAGTACGTTATTATTTTTTTATATACTTAATTTATCATCTGTTTTGAATAATTCCCCTAGAACTGAAACATTCAGAATCAAATGTTGTTCAGAATACTAATATAATGAACTTCGCAAAATATCAATAGAAGATTTTGATACTAAAGGGTTTCTTGTGAAAAAAATGCTCAATTTCCAACAATATTGATGCTAGAAGCCTATTTTCACATATTTATGTTTCAATGTTGGTTTATGAACGTTTTGGCGGCATCATCTCGAATAATCAGTTTTTAATTATACAAATAAATAGATCATAATTTTTAGAATATATCATATAACAATATGATATGATCATTGTTCCGTATTATTATCGTTGTTTACTAAGCGATTACTTTGTATGGTTCTTAAATTAAAGCAGCTAAATTACTGTATTTTGAGTTTATAGATCTTAAGTAAAATACATCCAATGAATGTAGAGTGGTGGATAATTGATTAAGGCGTTCGACGTTTGAGGATTAAGTCCCACGTTCGAAACCCATTCCACCTTCTTCGATATAGGCAATCAGATAGTATCATTAGCCGTCACAATTAAAGTGTGACACATACCTAAGTTCAATAGTTGAAATCATGAGTCAGTTAAAGCTAGACCACCATGGAGATCCTGAAAGCACTGAATCTTCTCATTGTTATTTAGGACTACAATTATTCAGTCTCTTATTAGCATATATATAGTTCCTGTACGAATTACTTCGATATAACCTCAAATCATTGCTATCCACTATTCATCTTTGCTTAAAAATACAATAGGAGATTTTGTATACCTCAACTTGATTTTATTCTGTTTATTCAACAATATTAGCATAAATATGCTCATTGAATATGGTTACTATTATTATTATTATTGTTTTTTAATTTTGTTTTATAATTTAGGCACCAATTTTATTTGCAATCATTTATGTTCTCATCACTTTATTCTTAGTGATATTTGCATTTGTTGCTGCACCAACTGAATCATGTAAGAAAAAAAAAATCAATCAATAAATTTTTTTATTTTTTCTATGTGAAAGTATTATTTTTTTAAAATAATGTTTTATCATATTATTTCCTTAGTAACAATACATTTTTATATGGAAATGTACTGTCATGAATGAGAACACAACTGGGAATAATTGAATATATTTGAACACATTGATTACAGAACATGTTAGTAAAAATCTAAGAACTATACAGCAAATACATCATTTGTAAAATATCCATCCACTATCTCAGACTTCATTGTTTCTTTATTTTTCCATATGAATCATTCTCTGTTCTTGTTCTCGTCTCATTGATCTTCATAACTTTTTGTCTTTGGGTATTTCATTTTCGATTGATGATATAAACTACTTATATCTGTTGATATCAGTAGTACACTACAGATTGTGTTCCCTTGAACAATCATTTCATAAAATGACTAACCTACTAAAAATCATTACTGAACCTATGAATGATTTGACTTATATTATCCTATTTAATCTTCAATCGTGATAGAATTATGTAAGTTGAGTCTATGAGAATGTGATGGTGAAGATATGAATGATTACCATGTCACCAAAGTTGAATGAACACATTCAAAGTTGACGATTTTTGACAGGTAAACACAATGAAATGAATGTAACTGTTGTGCATTTTGTTACTGATAACACTAAATCAATCTTTTAAATTATACATGCATTACATAATGGTTTGCTGTTAATTGTACAGATAACATGAAGAAAAGACTATAAAAGTAGTTAGACAATTTCAATTAAAAAAACTTTAAAAATTTATCAATAATTATTTTTCTTTTCTTTTTGTTTTTACTTTCCTCTTATTTTTATTGTTGTTGTTATTATTCTTATCGTTTAGTGCTCGGTGTAGCCATCATTTGTACTGGGATACCAGTTTATATCATTGGTTGTGTATGGAAGAACAAACCGAAATCATTTCAAAGAAAATTTGGTAAATAATTAATATTATATGTTACAGCCGTGACCCCATACTGATACTTGTTGTGTACTCACTTATGACTATATTCGTGAGGGGATTCTCGGAGTTATAGTAAGAAGCCATGACCAGTGGAGGCAGTTCGTGTCGGGTAGAGACAGGTATCTACCTCAGTGCAATGGAAGGTGGTCGTGTAATCTTGTGGATTGGTTGAGGTTAGACATTAACACCGTTGGATGACAGCTCAGTGGTCTAGTAGCTTAAGTGTTCGCGCGCGAGACTGAACACTCTGGGTTCGAATCCCGCGAACGAGATCGTGGACGCTCACTGCTGAGGAGCCCCACAATAGGACGTAACGGTTGTCCAGTACTTCAAGGTTTCTCATCTCGGTCTAACATCAATCGGTTTATGATTTCAATCAATAAATTGATATAATGTTATAATTCTTTTTAAATTACATATTTATTGAATTACTGTTTATTTTTGGTTAGTTTTGTTTTATTTTTTCATTTTTGATCATCATCGAAATTATCTATAGTAAGTCGAGAAAGATCTTTAAACGTCTTCTATTATGAAGGAAATTTAATTTTGCTATCTAAAGTGTGATATGAATACATTTCATCATAACCTTTTATTGACATAGTAACAACCTTGGAAAGTGTTAACGGGACATAGATTGGACTAAAGCATGCTCAATGCAAGATTACTTTGGTGCACACATATTCAAACTATTATTAAACATTTTCTTCATTTTTTCTACAAACAGTCATTGTTTATCATGATTTTGTTTGATAAATATGTCTGTTTACTTTCTGATAGTAGTACTTGAATTTTAATATATTTGACATCGGAATTATATCTTGGTTAATTATATTGTCTAATCCTCAGCCTTAAGTGAATTCTGATGATCATCAAACTAAACAACAGGGTATCATAGTGCAATTTATATGACGTTTTGATTGATTAGAGATATCCTGAAGCCCTTAATGTAAACTTCATGTTACAGAAAGCATGAATAATTCTCCCTTGTGGCGCTGTGTGATATAGTTTAAAGTTCTGAAAGGGACATCCGTTCTTCTATGATTTCGAATGTGTCTTATTGACTAGTAAGAATTGATTTTCTTAGACCACATAACTTACTAACTATTGTTCACAAGCTTTTACAGCATAGAAAGTACCGTATTAGTTTCCATAGTAAATTTAGTTTGTAATTTCGATTATGAAATCATTATACCTTTAATAGTTAAACTTAATTGTGAATTTATGCTTTCGAATTATTTCTGTTATAACATTTATACTACTAATAATAATATGTACATAGTCTCTTTTTTTTGTTTATTTACTATTTCTGTTACAGAATCATTTACTATTGGAGTACAGAAACTATTTAAAGTTGTACCATCGAATTAATTGATTCACTGAATTCATTTATTATTGATGTTTCTATTTTTGTTTTAGTATCCATTATTATTACTACTACTAATACAATCAATTTTAACCGTGTTAGTAGTATCACGACTAACAGCAAATAAATAGTGGTGGTAGTAGTAATAGTAGTAGTAGTAGTAGTAGTAGTACTAGTAGTAGTAGCATGGTGTCATTCCGTTAAAGCAAACTCTTTCCACACGAGTTATGGCAATAGCAGTAGTATAATTAATATAATTCAAATTGTAGGAGACCAACAAATCATCATCATCATCATCATCATCATTGTTGTTGTCAAGAAATGTGTGTGTATGTTCAGAATTTTAACTTTTTTTCTATACCTTTTCTGATGATGTTTTTGCATTGTTATTACATCATGCTTTAACGATTTATAGAATGGCTCCTAATGATGAATAGGTATTGAATTATCTCCCTCCCTCCCTCCTTGTCTCCCTCCTCTCTCTCTCTCCCTCTCTCTCTCTATATATATATATATATACCCCTTACCTCTATTCTAAATCACGAAATATTTCTAGTTACCTTGATTACACTTCTCTTTTTTATTGCACATAAGGTTACTTGAATATATACAATCAACATGACCTTCTCACATTATTTTGGTTTTTATATACCCTATGTTTCATTCTTCATTTTTTTTTCTTTTACAAAATAAAAGTATCTAGGAACCAAATAAAATCGATTGATTTTTATAAGTGTTTGTTTTGTTTTGTTTTTTTGTTGTTGTTGTTATTGTTATTGATTCTGTTTTCTTTTCCTGTTTACAAATTATTGATTATTGTCATGTATATGTTGTATCCAATTTATGAAAGTAGATGATTCATTCAATTGATAGTATCCTTCATTTCAACTATTCGATAATTCGATAGAATAGAAAAAGAAAAGGAAAAAAAAACCTTTTGTAAATTATTAGTTATATTTTTATGGTTTACCCTTTACTTAGTTTCATTTTATTAGAGAAGGAAAAAGACACTATAAATAATAACGGATGATCAAGTGTAGTATTGCTATAATATTAAACAATAGGTTGATAGTTATAAGAATTACTTACTTACTTACTTACTTATGCCTGTTACTCCTAATAGAGAATAGGCTGTCGACCAGCACTCTCCAACCCACTCTGTCCTGGACCTTCTTTTCTATTTCCATCCAATTCTTGTTCATTTTTCTCATGTCTATCTCCATTTCCCGGCGTAATGTGTTCTTTTGTCTTCCTCTTCTACTCCTTTGGTCATGAGTATTCCATGTGAGGGCTTCTCCTGTGACACAGTTGGGTGCATTTCTGAATGTGTATCCTATCCACTTCCAGCACCTCTTGCTCCAATGGGATCTGGTTTTTTCTCTCCCACAGTAGTGGGTTGTTGCTAATAGTGTCCGGCCAACGGATTTAAAATATGTTGCATAGACAATTGTTAATAAACACCTGTATCTTCTGGATAATGGCTTTCGTAGTTTTCCAGGTTTCGACCCCATACAGTAGAACTGTGTTGACATTTGTATTGAAAATTCTGACTTTGGTGTGCAGTGATTGTTAATAACAGATTAGATTTGAATGAATGGTTGATTACAGTAAGCGTAAGTTGAGAGGAAACCAATTACAGTCAAACTCCAAGACATGATATCAATTTACAAAGTTTATTAACTGTTAATTCAAGCCATATTGATAGATTTGGTGTACCTGGTTGGAATTACTAGGGTGATTTTGACCAATGATTAGAAATGTTGGCTCAGAAACGATTATGGTGGAACAAACACATCTACTCTTTGTCTCTCCAGAAATATTAAGGCCCAGTATTCTTTTATTTCTTCTCATCCAGTCATAAATACTATTATTATCTCGACTTATTTATTATGCACTTGAGTTACTTCATTTTACTGAGATACTGAAGTATCGTAAATTGAGATAAATCTCGTTTGTACCCGACTTTAAGTTGGTTATCACCAACTGACTATACTGAACAATATCAATCGAACACAAATAAAACTTCTCATTCTAGAGCCTTTATTTTCACTGATACACAGGTGTAATAAAAAACAGAACTTGTTTAGAGTTTGCAATGAATTGGTACTTAGTACAAACTCTTCTTTCCATATTCGTTTTTGACTAATCTGAAATTTCGGAAGGAAACTTTTCGACTGACTCACGCAGAATGATCCATTAACAGAACAAATTCTTTATTAGAATTACACGGATCGCGTTGAATATTGGGTCCAGTTTTAATGTAACGAAATAATTATCACATCTTTTGATAGTTTAGAATATTCATTTCTGACTTAAGTAGACGGTTTAAAAAAAAAACTATTCAGATCTACTGAAAAGCTTAATTTGGTATAGAATGAATTACTAGGCAGTCGTTTTTCTAATTGAAGAATATTTTCACAACGTAGTTTAATTATTGAACATTATCCTCAATGAATTTACCTCAGCCTCGTTGAAAACGACACACAAATTATTAAACATCAATGAGATATTTCCATGGTAACTGAGTTACAACAATTCAATGTGATTTAAGACTTCAGATCAATTTTCCATGTGTTTAACACATCAACGCGTTGTATGTTCAATTGTTGACAACTAAATAAATTACATCAAGATCTGTGGGAGAGAAAAGGACTAGCTTCCAGTTGAAAAG